CCCCCACACACACACACAATTTTTTGATGGGGCTGATTCCTTGGAGCAACAAATGGCTACTGCCGAACGCCAGAAATTGTCTACATAGAATAGGAACTATTCCGTCGTATGTGTTTGTGCGTGTATCTTGACAATTTCAACCAAAACATCAAGTATATTAAAAAAAGCCACAATGTAACACTCCGTACGTTGTATCAGTGAGTGTTAATTGTGTATATTATGATTTTTGTCAATTTTCTTGCTCTTTTTGCTAGTAAGTCCGCTTGTAATTTTATTTGTTATACTCTGTAATTTATTTTGCCACATTGTATTGGTCTGTGATTTAATTCACTAACTCTTACCTCTAACGTATTCTCTTCGTGTTATTAATGCAATAGTATATATATAAAACACTTGGATGCAGATTAAAATGAATAAAGATAATAAGCGTCACAAGCATATTTAAACTTGAGATGGATAAGAAACAATAGATCTATCAATTTGATAATATGCCATGATCATTTCTAAGGTGAACACTGTACAGTGTGTGTTTGTGTGTGTGTGTGTGTGTGTATAAAGCAATAAATATATTGTCCACTGATTTACACTTTGCTTACAGTTGGAAAACAATGCACTTCAAGAAGGTTATGCTGAGGTGATAGTTGGTGCGGATGAGGTTGCCGTTGCGGTAAGCCCTAGTGGAACAGCCCATGCTCTCGTTAACGTTGATCCTTCTTCCCTAACGACATTCTTTGTCGGATGCCAGGATAGTGTTGTTAACTATACCGACTCTAGAACTGATTTTAATGTTTGGAAAAATCTATAAACTCACACAGGTAATAGCTTTTATGGTATCTAGTGACTAGTGATTAGTGTAGATATGGTCTTTTAGGATGATGAACAGGCTCCATATCTTTTGGTTCATTTTGTCTTCTTTGCATTCAACCACCAGAATGCAAAGATAGCCCATTTACTAATAACCTGTTTGGTTGCCTGATTCCACAGTAATTTTTTTAGTTTTCACTTTCTGCACAGTCAGTATGTGCCATTGCTTGCCTTGCCTCCTTTGCTTGGGTTTGGCTTAAATGGATTTTAGTTATTTTACCCTTGTTTGTTGAGAAAATTCTGCAAATTCAACTATAGGTTCAGGTGAACAATGGTTACCAAAAGACTATCTGTAGAAAAATATACTCATACAAGTGTTCATAGAAAAATTCCCATAAACGAAGGACAATGAACGTAATATTTGATAACAGATGATAAGATATGAAAATCTTTCAATTATAAGAGGCTAATTATAAAATTTATTCTACTCCGTATAAATTTAGAAACATAAATTGTATGGTTGAAATCGAAACTAGAAGTACGAAAAAGTAAAAATATGTATGACAAATATTTTTAACTATAGTTTGAGAAAAATAGGGTGGAAAATATTTAAAAAATAAAAAGAAAAAAAAAGAATCAAATGGAGTGTAACTTATTTCTTTAAAAAAACTAGGTTCAAAATATATACTCTCCACGTCCCAATTTAATTTAAGTTGTCTATTGTTTATGATATTTCACTGAAATTAATTTCAAACTAATTTGTTTAAGAATTGGTGTAGAATATTTAAAAATAAAGTTTATTTAAAAATAACATCAAAAGTTTTAAGAATTAAGAAATGATGTGATTATATTATTTTATCGAATGAGTAAAAGGAAAAAATAATTGGTTAAAATTGTGACAATGGAAATAGTAAATATCTAACTTAATTTAAGACATGTTCTCTTCACCTCATCTGAATGATTCTGATCTGATTGGAATAAATTCTGATTTAATCTGCTCCAATATAGTTAAACTTAAAGATATTTTTGAAGTAATCTGAGTTGATCATCTAATTTCAATAAAAAAAAGTAATAAGTAATAAGAATCATTTGAAGAGAACATGCCTTTAGATTTTTTTCTAAAAAAGCTTAATTTAAAAGGAAGAGAGCCGTATTTATTCAACTTCTTTTAGTTTTTTGTAATGTTTAAACTTCACCTAGTTTTTCAACTCTTAATTCTTTTTATCTTCCAATTCTATTTATCCACTTTTCAAGAACCATGTTTTTGAAATAATCAGTTTTTCATGTCAACAACGCTCATAACATATCTACACGATATTTTAGACAATTCATTATGATTTCTTTGTTGAATATGAAAACAAAATCATCTCAAAAAGAATGAGTGGGTATTAATTTTTCAAATGTATGTCCATGGAGCCTCATTCTTTTGACATAAAAAAGTAGTGTCGTAACATACGATCGGCCCATTTGGAGAGTTATAGGATACTTCGTTAGGCTACAAATAGGTTCCTACCTCCTCACTCCTACCCCCTCCTCCCACACCATCCCCACAAACCTTTTAGCCAAATCCCTACCCGCATAGGTAGCTCAATTGGTCGAAAGAGAAAAATGTCAAGCTCATAGATTCTAGATCCAAATCATGATAGCGGCAGTGTAGAAATTCTATTCTGTGAAATAGATCTTTGTATGCACCGAGCACGGGACGGCCTTTCTAAGGACGAGATTATCTCACACACTATCCTGTCGGGCCGGGGGCACCTCCGCACCCAGCTTTTAACCCAATCCCATCCCCCATCGTGAACCCTTGTGGGAGACAAATTCATTGTCAAACTATTTGATTATGGATTATCTCCCATATGAATCCTAGGAGAAGGGGTTGGAAAGGTAAGAAGTAATAACCGCTCCCACGTAACACCATAAGACTCTAAAGGACCCAGTATCATACTCCATATGATAATACCAAAGTTCCAAAGATTGAAGACTGAAGATTAGATTTTGGGGAAGACTTCTTTTTTTTTGTTTTTGAATCCAATACTCGGTAAAATCGTTCTTAAAACTTCCCATGTTCTTTCATCTTTATGTTGAGATAATGAAAAGAGGAGAGTGCATTGCCATTAATACAGCCCTGAGTGTACTTCTAGTCTGTCACAAACCACAATAGGGGGGGCTTATTTAAATGAGAAGAGGGGGTGGGGGGGTAGGGGTGAATCGAAGTGTGCATAGATTATAATGAGACCCGCCAATACCATCGTGATTCAAAGAGGATGAGAGATTCAATCTCCCCGAGTCAATTAGCCCGGTGGCCAGTTCAGCTGTCTTCCTCCGAGAAGATGAAGGTGAAGATGGTAAACAGATTGGCCTGCAAAAAGAGTACACACTGTTCAGATCAAAACCAGATCAAAATATGGATGGGCTGAAGCTGAGACTCCTATTAATCATTATGGCAAAGTAATTAATGGTAGGAAAGGATGATTTCTTAAAAAAATAATAATAAAATTACTGACATCCGTCCCTCCCGTCATTGATCACAAGCCTGAATCCATTTTCATCCAGGCCTTCTTGTTTAGCTACAAGCTTTGCAGTGTAAACAAGGCGACCAAGTATCTCGCAATGTCTCTCCTCGGCCTTTTCAAAATTAAAAAAACAGTTGAAAACTAAGTTACTGATATAGTCAGACAAATATAATGAAGAAATCAAACCATACACAAATAGCAGAATGTATTCTGGAACAAAGATCAATTGCTGGGTTTTAATAAACACTGGAACGTTGAGAAGAAACGTTACCATACCAAAATTGCCGTGGAAAGTGGAAAACATGGCATTAATAAAACAAACTCGTATTTTCATCCCAGTTGAGTAAATCTCTTAGTTATACTCCTCTAATAATGTTATATTAGTGCGGAAATCAAATAACTTGAACCAAGAAAGTTTATATGTATGCCATAACCATGTTCGCATTACTTCTATGATGACATCATAAGTACAAACCAAACACGGCCTAATATATAGTAAAAGATCCCTGAATATTCCAACACAAATATATCTTCAAGTTACGTAATGAGCTCACATGCGCGGACTACATTGTTCTGAAATTCACTCTATCTAGTGAAAAAGACAGAAGCTTTAGAGAGCCGTAAATGGGATAAATGTCACTTCAATCGGTCTTAGACGATTTATAGAAAATACCAACCTTGGAGAGCCCGGATAACCCATCTTTAACCTTTGGAATGAGGAGAATGTGCACTGGAGCTTGGGGGTTTATGTCCCTGAAAGCCAAAACCTGTCCAAACATTCATAATAATCTCAATAATGAGCCTTCGTTTCACTCAATAATCGAATTAAGGAAAAAGCAATTGATAGTAATCTCAATAATAAGCATTAATGTTAACAAATGCTCCGGTCCATGAATCGATTAGATAAAGGTGTCAAAGGGGTGTAGAGGTTGATCTAGAAGTCATCTATACAATGTCTCCCATAATCCATCCCAAATCGATCACCAAATGGAGGAATTACAGTTCTCTCTTTACATACAAGATTAACAATCTATACAATTTTCTACAAGCAAAATAATTATTAAAAAAATTGGGAATATCAGTTTAGAAATGGACCAAGCATTGTTGCTAGGTTAGAGAAATCAGAGCAATCCCTAAAATTATGACTTTTGATAACTCCACCGAAGGCAATAGTACCTGATCATCCTCGTAAACAATGTTCGCGGGAATTTCCTTTTTGATAATCTTGTCAAATCTGCAAAAAACACAGATCATCAAATCGTCTTCGCTCAGATCAAATGAAAAAGACTCGAAATCGGATCGAAAATAATCGCGGGCAGAAGGGAGAAAAGTTTCGGGACAGCGACGGAGGGAGGGTACATGGTGGGAGAATCGGCGGAGAGAACGGCGGCGAGAAGGGCGGCTTCCTTCTCAGAAGCCATGGGAGAGAGGTGAGTGGTCAGTACTTGGAGCCGGCTTCTTCTCTCGCCGCCTTTCTCTTTGCTCATTATATATAGGGACACACTCACAAGGCCGCCGGGGGCCGTCTGAGTCGGATGGCAATTCTTTGGCCTGTTAGTAATTACGAATAATTAATTGCCTTTCGTGGTCAAAGTAAAAGAATTAGAGTTGTAAATATCGAATCGAATATTTATAAATAATATTCGTATTCGTTAAGATAAGGTGATATTCAAATTTAAATTCGGTTTGAATATTTTTTTAAGATTCATGTTTGATTCGTTTAATATAGTAAACAAATTCAGTTTGGTTAAAAATTCGATTTGTTTAAACATATTTGGTTTGTTTAAAAATATTCAGCTCATTTAAATTTTAAAATATTTTATAACCATTTAAACTATTTATTAGCTATTAGAAAAAAACTATTCTTGTCATCTCTTGTTTTCTATCACTTTTGACAGAGTTTTAAAATATGTGAATTTTATTTTTAATTTCTATATTAAATTTTAAATAAAATGAATGTAAAAACTTGAAAATTCGTTTCTTCTTTCCAAAAGTATAAAACATTTGAGACAGAGGGAATATAGTTTGGTTATTATATTTATTTAAAAAATTATGTTCTGGATATTCATAAATATCCGAAATCTTAATATTTCATCCAATATTCGATTTAGTTTTTTCAGATATCCAATTCTATTTTTTCGGATATCCAACTCGAAATATCCAAAAGTTAAAAGATTGGATCGAATATCGATTTTTCGGATCGAACACATTCTCTGGATTAGATTTTTTTAAACACACCTAATTGTCGTCTAAGACTGATCACTCCATGCCCTCGCCATGCCATATAAGTTTATTTATTCTTAATAGTCGTGTTGAATTCATTATGAAATACTTTAATGGGACAAATGAAGTAAAGAAACATATTTCATTAACCCCTAATTTTTTATATGCATTATTTATATGATAAAATCATAAGATCTTTCTTTAGCTATTTTCATTGATCATTTGGTAAAAATAGCATGCAATGAAGAGGATATTACGTACGGTGGTGGAGAAGAAGAGTAGGTGAGGGTGACATTGGGATGGATAAGGATTTGTGTTAATGGGGTGGAAGAAATTATTTTTAAGGGCAGTAAGGACATTTTACACACAAAAAATTGCCAAATAATAAATTGAGAAGATTATTTGTGGGAGACCAATAAAGAAAGTGAGAAGATTAAAGTTCAAGGGAGCGAGTGTTTTATACACTCCATAAACTTTTGATGTTATATAATGTCTCTTTAATTAGCGGAAACTTAAGGATACTCCCTAGACTTTATACCTCAATTACTCTATCTACACATATTAATATTATAAAATAAAATTTTGAGAATTCTTACTAAGATAGATATAATAAAATCATTTTACTTTTTTTAATTTAATTAAACTCCAAAATTTATCTAATTTGACTCAAAAAAGTCAAACTAGATAAACAATAAGTAGTCAATTAAAACAATTACACTATGTTTGGTTCAAGGAATTTGAAAGGGAGAAGAAAAGAAAATGAAGTGGAAAACCATTTTTCTTGTTTGGTTAGAGGGGGAAAGAAAGAAAAAGTGGAAGGAAAAGAAAATGAGGAGGCAAAATGTACCAAGTGGATGGAAAATTAAATTCCTTCCATTTTGGTGAGGAAAATGAGAGAAAATCATTTTCTTTTCTTTTCCTTCCAAAATCCTTGAGCCAAACATAGTGTTAGTGAAACGACAAAAGAAATGTCACCCCGAGAGTGTTACCATATCAAATAATGTCAATTGTGTTGCGAGATCAAACGTCAAAACAATACCAAATTTATTACTCTATATAGTAAATATAGAGTAGGGGTGAGCACATTTTGGTAAACCGACCGAACCGTACCGAAACCGAAAACTTTTGTACATACCGAAACCGAACCAAATAAATTGATTCGGTATTCGGTTTTAAGTTTTTTAAAAATTCGGTTTTCGGTTCGGTAATATTATTTGTGTCGGTATTTTGGTTTTTACCGAATACCGAAATAATTTTAATATATTGTATAGTTCTATCAACCCACTACAAATATCCAGCCCAATTTTAAAAAGTGAATATGTAGTCCACTTCAATTAAGTCTCAAGTCTCAATTAGGTTTCCTTTTTCTAAGTTTCTTGGGCGGCAGTAAGGACTAAGCCGACTCGTCACAAAAGTCAGCCGGTAGGGACTAGGGAGATCTTCGGCTCTTCGTCTCTGCCTTCTTCATCCGATCGATCGTGCGGCCATCTTCATCCCCTCTGTCTGGAGACTCACAATGTCAGAAGGTAAGTTTCCTATTTGGTTTGTTGCATCTGCTTACCCTAATTTGCTTTTATTTATGTTTTTTTTCAGATTTTTGTATATTTGTTCACACTTCATAGTTCATGTACGAAATTAGGATGTTCACAGTTCATTTCCCCGTTTGTTCACTCGTCTATGTTTCTTGGATTTTTTTAAACTTTCACAGGTCAATCTAACCTAGAGGAAAACAGAGAACTTAGAAGTGATGGACAAGAATCACAAGATGGGTTTCAAAGTACAGAGAGTAGCCGAACAGATTTAAGAAAACCCATGGGCAAGCGATCTCTTTCTTGGGGCCACTTTACTGTCTACTTTACGAAAGACAAAAAGCGAAGAGCTCAATGTAAGTATTGTCCCAAAAATTATGCTTGTGATTCCTCAAAAAATGGTACTACTGGAATGAATAATCACATGAAGGTGTGTAAAAATCATCCTGACAATAAGTGTGTTGAAGAGAACCAAACAATCACAAACTTTTGTCAAAGCTTAGCTGGAACTGTTAAAGACATTAGGAATTGGAAATTTGACCAGTTACTTGTTAGGAAGGCATTAGTATTTATGGTCATAAAAGATGAGCTACCCTTTAAGTTTGTTGAAAATGAGGGGTTTCGGGAGTTTGTATTTGCTGCATGTCCACAATTTGTTGTTCCATCAAGAACAACAATAGCAAGAGATTGTTATAACTTGTTTGAAGAGGAGAAAAGTAAGTTAAAGTCTTACTTCAAAAGTACAGGTCAACGATTGTCATTGACCACTGATACTTGGACATCAAATCAAAAGATAACATATCTTTGTTTGACGGGTCATTATGTTGATAGTGATTGGAAAATGAGAAAAGTGATATTAAACTTTATTACTTGTCCATCACACAAAGGGGATGAAATTGGATTTTTGATTGAAAAGTGTTTGTTGGACTGGGGAATAGATAAGATTTTTACCATAACTGTTGATAATGCTTCTTCGAATGATACTGCTGTGGGTTATTTGAGAATAAGATTGATTAATTGGGGTTCTACCATACTGGAGGGGAAATACTTGCATGTAAGATGTGTAGCTCATATTGTTAATCTTGTTGTTAAAGATGGTTTAAAAGATATGAATGAATCTGTTGAAAGAGTTCATACAGTTGTGAGATATGTGCGACAATCTCCATTGAGACAAAAGAAATTTAATGATTATGTTCTTGAAGAAAAAGTACAAAGCAAGAAAGGATTGTGCTTGGATGTTCCCACTCGTTGGAACTCTGTGTATTCAATGCTTGAGAGTGCAAGTGTATACAAAGCTGTTTTTGACAGGTACAAGACACAAGATGCTGATTTTAGAGCTGATTTTTCACCCAAAGGAGTGCATGGAGATCCAGGTTTTCCTTTAAACACTGATTGGGTTGTGGTTGAAAGGCTTGTGAAAGTCTTGCGTAATTTTTATGAGCTCACAAAAAGGATATCTGGTTGTACATATGTGACATCAAACACATTTTTGGATGAACTTAGTGATATGGATGAGCTCATCAAAGAATGGGTTTTGAGTAGTGACAAAGATTTAGCAAATATGGCGTTTAGTATGAAGTCAAAGTTTGACAAGTATTGGGGAAATGTGGAGAAAATGAATAAGTTATTATACATTTCTGATGTCCTTGACCCTCGCCACAATGAATTATTTGAAATACGTTCTAAAGAACATGCATGGGGAACTTGTTGGAGGGAATTTGACGGAATCAATAGATAAGGCACTAGTTGAAATTTTTAATGTGTATAAGTCCATGTATTCCACTCCAACCTCCTCTGTCACTTCTCTAGATCCTTCAAATACTTCATCTGGTACACATGGTGCTTTTGAAAGTGACATGGCAGAAAGAAAAAACATAAGACTCCACAAAAAAAGGTATATGCAAATGTTATCGGAAATTGGAGTGTGTGATCAATCTGAGTTGGACTTGTATATACAAGAGCCAATTGTGAAAGATCATCCACATTTTGACATTCTTGATTGGTGGAAAGTCAATAGTCCAAGGTTTCCGATTTTATCCATGTTAGCTCGAGATGTGTTGGGATGCCAATAACTAGTGTGGCTTCAGAATCTGTCTTTAGCACTGGTGGGCGTGTAATTGATGACTTTAGGTCTTCATTAACTCCAAAGATGTCACAAGCTTTGATTTGCACACAAGATTGGCTCCGTCATTCTCCTATTTGTTGCGTGGAGGAAGAAGAAGAATTTTGTCAAAAACTCGAGAAAGGTAAGTTCCTAGAATGCATAAATACTCTTCATAGTTAATCTTTCGATTATTTTGTTTCATAGCAATTTAAGTTTTTTTAAACTGTTTTTTCTTATAGAGTTGGTGATAAACCATGGAGTTGACACTAATATTCTTGGATTATGATTACCCCTTGGATTGGAGTCTAGTATTAGGTAAATGGTATTATTATTTATATCTTAAATACTTAAGATTACAAGCAATTTATTTATTTGTTTCATAAATCCCTTTACAATTTTTTTACAGAATTGTTAGAAGCATTGGAAATCTGAAGTTGTTGGAGAATGAATATCATGAAATAATAAATGTTTTTTGGAATGGACAATTGTATTATTTCTACAACTATTTTGTATTGTATTATGTGATGGATCTAATTGTGTTTTGTTATTTTGACTTTGTAGTATGTAATGGATTTAAACATCATGAATCTAATTGTGTTTTGTTATTTTAAATTTGGAGAATGTACAGAATCTTTAGAGTTCAAAGTCCTTTGTTTCAGTTTTTGGTAAAACCGTTTACCAAACCAAAATATTTCGGTTTGGACCGAACCGATTAAGATAATTTCGGTTCGATATTCGGTACAGAAAATAAATAACCAAATTTTCGGTTTACCGAATTTTCAGTTCGGTTCGGTTTTACCGAATGAACACCCCTAATATAGAGTGTGTTTTTTTTTCAATCCCAGTAGTGCAATTTCAAAGAGCTCCATGCATGTTTCTTTTTTGGGTTATGCTAGAGGTCCACCATTTGGTGTACATCACTTGCAAACACAAAAACAAACAACAATTGTCTGTGCACAGAGACAATTGTCTGTGTGTTTGTATTACACTTGATGAGCAAATGGTGTACAACAAGTTTTACACGCAAAGGGTCTTTTTCACATAACAATATGAAGAGAGAGAGAGTGTGTGTGTGTGATGGAGGGTTGAGAGAAAAAAAATTCCTCAACATTGAAAAGCAACAAACAACATTACCCTCGTGCTTCAAAGGTTCCCGTGCATTGCAAGGTAAGGGGAATCGGGTCGGATGTACACAACCTGACCCTTAGGTTAAAAGCGGCTGTTTCCACATGACCATTGAAAAGCAATGAAAAAAATGATGTGGAGAAGGAAAGTGTAAAGAAAAAGATTGGTGAGATTTTTTTTCACTCACAATTATGTTGCAATCTCATACTCGTAGTCACTAAGTAATAACCAAACGGACCCTAATGGAAAATGGGACATAGACCAGAAATAAAAAATACATAGACACACCTTCTCAATGGGACATTTCTTCAAACTTGTCTCTCGACTACATAACTGAATCAAAACCACTCCCATGGAGATACTAACAATTGGCCGACGAAAAGTATTTTGGGGGTTTTAGTGCTTTTTCCCTTTAAATCTAAGTGAAGTCAACTGAATTGGGCATTTTTTTCGAGAAGCACGAAACGCATATAAAATGCTTGCAAATAAGCCTACCTAAAAAACAGTGCAAAACCTTTAAAATTACCAATCTTGAAGAGATTGACGCCGTAGGAGATAGGAAGTTAGGCCTACGGACCTCTATAGAATAACTTCTAAGATGTTTTATTCTCTTCCAAATTGATTATTTTCTAATTATTCAATTGTTTATTATCTTTCTTATGTAGCATTATGACTTCCAAACTCAGTCTTAAGCAACATTTTAAAATTCTAAAACATAAGAAAGATAATAATCAATTGAATGACTCTAAGTATAGTCCAAACTTAGTTACCATTGTGACTTCATGTTCTATAACTATAGATATGTATGGAATTGTAAGTAATGTTTTCAAAATTATGCGCCACACATGAGACAGGCAAGCACTGTAATAGCAAATGGTGTAAAACAATAATAGCAATATGCATTTTCCTCATGCAAGCACTGTGCTAGCAAGCCAGCCTAATTTTGCAAGCAATTGAAAAGTGAATTCACTCATTGATATTAAACATCACATCTGAAATTAAGATCAGCCTTTCGACACAAAACAAAGGATAAGAAGAAAAAAAGAGAGAATATCCAAATATCTTACCTATCTGCCCAAGTATGATGGGAAGTAAGCCCCTGCTGATCCAAAGCTGGACTGAGTATTTGGAGGCGGCGATGATGATGATACAGGACCCGAACCAGTACCTCCACCAGAAAAGGAAGGCGCCAATGGAGCATTTTGGTACGCACCGAGTCCCTGCAACCCCATATGCAAACCTAAATTTCCAATTGTACTTGGGTTTAAGCTAGCTAAGCCACTGTTTGCTCCAATGGAGGCGCCACCAACTGCCGGTGTTGCCAGCCCAAGAAAGGGATTTGCTGTCAATCCCATTCCATGACTTTGCCCCATGAACATCCCGCCAGCTCCCAACATCCCTTGCTGCACTCCAATCCCACTACCACTTTGCTGCACAGCTTGATTAGCATGAGCTTTGTTGCTGTTGTTATGGACATACTCTACAAACATTTTGCAATGCAACTGGCAACCTTCGAACCACTTGATCGGCTCCTCCAGTGCTTTCTTAGCCCCTTCAGCTGTTTTAAACACAAAGATTGCAAATCCCCTTGGCCTCTGCGTCACCGGATCAAACCCGGATGGCCCTTCTTCAATCTCCCCAAACTTGGAAAAGAAAGAACGGAGATTCTCAGCAATCACATTTGGACCAACATTGCCTACATATATTTTCCGGCCTGTGGTATCATATCCGACGGGGCCTACTGCAGCAAGCTGGCAGGATATGGTCCGATTTCCAATTTTCTTCTGAGGCTGTTTAAGAGCTCTTTTGGCAGAGGCTCTGGTCTTGAAAAGCACAAAGGCATAGCCTTTGGCCTTTCCGGTGACCTTATCAGTAATGAGCCTACATTCCTCAATCTCACCATAGCTTTGGAAGGCATCGCGCACCGTATCCGTTGTGGCATCCCAGCTGAGGCCGTGTACAAAGACTTTCCGGTGGGTTGGATCGGAGTTGGCTAATTCTGTAACCCGGGAAATCAGAGAAGGATCCTTCGAAGCTGCCTGTTTGAACAGATCCATTATCTTATCTTTTCCCAGAGGCTCGAGAAGTTTCCGGATGCTCTCTGGCTTCGATGATTCATCTTCCTCTTCATCTGAAGAATCGGAACCCGACTCTTCTTCTTCTTCAGATTCATCTCCTTCTTCTTCCTCTACTTCTTCAGATTCACCTCCTCCTTCTTCTTCTTCTCCAGATTCTTCTTCCTCCTCCTCTTCTACTTCTTCTTCCACTTCTACTTCTTCTACTTCCACTTCTTCCTCATCGGATTTTTCCTCAGGGCTGTGCTCCCGTTTCCTAGCCATGGCAGGAGGTGATGTGCTCACTGTTTCTAGGGTTTACGATTTGCTCCTGCAAAGATAGTTCGGTTACGTTTCTCCCTGTGGAATCTATATAGGCTGGGCTAGATTTCAAGCCTAAAGGCCCTTAACTTAAAATGCAAGCCCAACAATACAATTTATACTCGGTAGTTATATTGAGGAATGAATGAAGATCATTGCATTTGGTAGACCTTAATCCACTCAAATATGGGTGTGGTTCTATTGAACTTTGAGTGTCAACCAATGACATTGTCTCTAATTAAGGTACTTACGATACTCAGTTCATGAAATAAATAGTTGTTATCACCGGTGTTTCAACCCCCACGCCACACACAGATCACTTATTAGCTACAAAAAAAATCAAAAGTCAATTAGAAGTCTAATGGGAGGGGAGTTAAGAGGAGTTAAAGAGGATTAGGATGGTATGAACTATCAATTTTAGAGACGGAAAACCTTAGGTGTCCTAAAACGGCAGTGACACCGTAGTGTCAACGAAACCATACGATCCAAATATAGCAATTATAATGAATAATACCCCATATATAAAAAAGATTTTGATCTTTTCTGTTGGGTGTGTGTGTGTCTATATATATATATATATATATATATATATATATATATATATATATAAAATTTAGTTTCATTAAGAATGACAAATAATGAAAGAAAAAAGAATTTTTAATCACCGTTGGATCTGGCTCCACTTGAACGCTAAATGCGTTTCTGCGCAAAGGTAGTTTAGGTCTTTCACTTCTTTTTAAACGCATAGGCGCATTTATTTCTGTAGATTTATTTCTTCTCCATAAAATCAGCTCACGAGGAGGCTGGGGTGGGGCTGGGTAGGGGGTTTATGGGGTAGGAACTATCAATTTTACAAATGGAGCACCGGAAGTGCCCCAAAATGACAGTGACATTGGAGTGTCACTGTACTTCGGTATCACTAGAACTTCACCGTTTTAAAGATGAAAAAGCACACCTTAAAAAGGTGTGATTTTGATATTATTTTTAAATTTTGCTATTGGTTTATAATAAGGTTGGATATAATGTATATGATAGATGAGTCATTATTTGAAAATAATATCAAATTAAAATTATCCATTTTTAAAGCACACCTTTTTTTATCTTTGAAAAGTTTCATGGGATGAGGAAGTAAAATAATTAGATAATATTTTGAAATTATTTTACAAGATAAAGCTAGTTAAATTATCTATGTATAATTCTAATATCAATTTTATTTAATTTATAATCAAAGTTTAGTCATATGGACAAATACTCTTAGATGCATGAGTACCAACACTTTTTCACAAAGTAAAAGCTTTAAGTAGTTTTCAAATTTTGAATATGAAGATTAGAAAGTTGTACAAAGCTTTAAGACCGCATATTCCGTGTCATAATACAAAAAAGAAGACAAATGTTAAATATTTCATTTGTCCTAAAACGTTCTCCTCGTTTTTGTTTACGAGATTTAACCGATTTTATTTTCAATTCAATTTATTTGATTGTAGATATAAAATCAAGAAATAAAATTTATATATTTCAGAACTACATCAAAAGTTTTACAAAACAAGATATGACAAGACTATATTATTTTATCAAATATCTAACAAAATTAGATAGAGGAAGTGATTAAAGTTTGACTGTGTAAATAGTAATTAGAAAAAACATTTTATGACGGAAGGAGTAATATAAAGACAAAATTTAGTTGTCCTCTGCTGGATTTATGGACATCTTTGGATGATATTTTGATGTCTCCCTATAGGGGAAAAAAGACCATTTATTTGTCCTCTTTTTCAGTATTAATAAATATATTCAATGAATTTGTTTTATTGAATGAAGTACCAAACGACCTAGTATTTTTGTGAAATTTTAGGATGATGATTTACGTGTTAGTCACTACGATGGGTTTCACAAAAAAAGAGTTAATTGAAAGACATAAATTTCGTAAGATTTGATGTATAAAAAAATGTGGTAAGATTTATTCATTCTTTATATACTCTGTATATAACACAAACAATGATTGAAAATTTTATTTGATAAGTCGAAAAGGCCAATAAAAAAAGGAAAT